TGTAGAGGACGTCAGTACCTTTTTCTAAGGTACATAAACTTTTGGGATTGACTGTATAGCCAATACATTCTTAACTTACGTCGAATCCGAGAACGCATGGATCCGAAGTAGCTTCGTGCTGTCTCTGATCTTCTAAAATTCCCAGTCTCCTTTTCTTGCTACCCTTGATAGCGTTCACAGGTACCTCCTGCGGCTCTGCCGCATTTTCATTATTCGGCTCATAATCTCCAGGAGACGATTTTTCTTCCCTAAAGTGACGTTTCAAGCCTTTGGTCTGTACACTGGTCAATGATACATATTGTTTCAGCTCCTCTTGGGGTGCTTGTACCTTGGCCAGTTGTTCTAAAAGTTCTGCCCTCTGTAAAAAGTAACGGTCGATTCATGAGAACGAGCAAACGAAACGTTAAAAAGAACGAACATTTTTACATGGATTAGCTTACACGTGATTTCTTTTTCCTCCTCTCTACAACTTTTTCAAGTTCTTTCCTACGTTTCTTGGACAGTAACCGAGTGGTAGTGATTCTTACAACTTTGTTCTTCGTTTTCCTTTTTTCATTCGGTAGGACGAGTGCGTTACAATCATCGTATTTGTCTTCCCGATGTCGTATATCGACAGGAATCTACTTTAAGAAAGCTAATACAGTATCCCGTTGACGATACTCGAACGAGAACTATATACATACACCGTTAAGAGGTTACCTTTGTCGTCGTAGAATTGTCAATCTCGACTTCCGTGACATTCCTCGCTTTCCAGTTGTACCTCTTTCGTCCCATTTTATCAAGTGATTTCATATACACATTCGCACATTACGGTTATTCGATCATTTAGACAATCGAGCAGATTGGGAACATGGACAGTATCGGCGGTGTCGGCCATCATGGTGGTACCGTGGTAGGAGGAGGAGGAAGTCGCATGGCTACAATGCGCTACGATGCGCATGTTCACGGCATGCTTTATCTTCGAAGGAGGGAGTAACGGGAAGTTAGTTTGCGTTGGTCTGCGTTCATTGTTAATCATGGCGGATCCACTGAGTTTACTGAGGCAATACAACGTCAATAAAAAGGAGATAATCGAACGTGAGAATCAAATAATTTTTGGTGAATTCTCGTGGCCGAAGAATGTGAAAACCAACTACTTGACATACGGGTGAGTACAGTTTCGGTGTCTACTTGATTGACTCGCGACAGCTATTCTCGATTCCTCCATTAGGGACTTTCGGACGATCTCCTTCGTATTTACTACCGATCGCTACCGATATTATTTGTAGAAGTAAACGGATAGGAAAGGGGTATCCATCTATTCGAGACTAAAGATACGAAACGTGTGAAAGAAATGAAACTGATTTCGCACGTGTCTCGTACCACGTTGCTCGCGATATGACAATGACAACACGTATTTCTGAACACGTCGTCTCGGTCCCCCTTTCCTTTTTAACGCGCGATCCATACACGTAAACGAAACAACATGCCTCTCGAAGGAAGAATAGAGTACACTGTAATTAGGCAGTGCGCGTGCGAGAAAAGAGAAGAACTATGAAAGTGTGTCCATTGCAGGTCTGGCAAGGAGGGCACACCGAAAGAATACTACACCTTGGAGTGCCTGTTATTCTTACTGAAACATGTACAACTCACACATCCCGTGTACGTACGGCAGGCAGCCGCGGAAAATATTCCTGTCGTGCGTCGGCCGGACAGAAAGGATCTGCTGGCGTACCTCAATGGCGAAACTGCCACATCAGCCGCCATAGATAAATCCGCGCCACTGGAGATTCCTACTCAGGTGAAGAGAACGGCCGAGGATGGAACAGAAGGTGGTTCTTCGAAGAAACCCCGCTTCGAAGACACTCACGTGCAAAAGGTGAAGGAGCAGCTCGCTGCGAGGTTGGACGCTCCTAAGGAGGCCTCCGTCACGGTGGACAACATCAAGTCCCTGTCGGAGGCGATGTCCGTCGAAAAGATCGCAGCCATCAAGGCGAAACGTTTGGCCAAGAAGCGTACGACGATCAAGGAGAACGACGACATCGGAATGGGATCGGATCTTCGCGTCATACTGATGGACGTGGATGACACCAAGGACATAGTATCGAGGGAGAGACAGTGGAGAACGCGCGCGACGATCCTCCAGAGTAGCGGGAAGATATTCGCGAAGAATATATTCGCGATTCTGCAGAGTATAAAAGCCCGCGAGGAAGGCAGGCAAAAGGGGCCCACCGCGCCGGCTCCTATGGTCACGCCGCGATCTACGCCCATGCGACCGCTGCCGCAGCCGGCCGTCTACAATCGTTACGATCAGGAAAGGTTCATCAGGCAGAAGGAAGAGACGGAAGGATTCAAGATCGACACGATGGGAACTTACCACGGGATGACCCTGAAATCCGTGACGGAGGGTACGAATCCGGCGGTGAGAAAGCCGGCAAGCAACGCGTCCGCGACTCCCAATTCCGGCTTACTGCCGACGTCGGCCGCGAAACTCACGCCGCAGCAAGCCGCCCAAAACAAACGACCCAGCCGGACTCCCATCATAATCATTCCGAGCGCCAACACGTCTCTGATCACGATGTATAACGCGAAAGACGTACTACAAGATCTCAAATACGTGAGCAATGAGGAGAAACGTGGGCAGGGTTGTAAACGGGAGAACGAGGTGCTTCTGCAGCGTAGGAAGGAGGGCGGTCTGACGGTTCCGTACAGGGTAGTAGACAATCCGCAGAAACTCACAAACGCAGACTGGGAACGAGTCGTCGCGGTGTTCGTGATGGGTCCGGCTTGGCAGTTCAAAGGCTGGCCATTCGACGGCAATCCCGTCGAAATCTTTTCTAAAAGTATGTCTTTCGCACGCTCCCTCTTTTTCTTCAGTTTCACATACATCTGTCTGTCATTTATTTTCCTCTTACAGTATGCGCGTTTCACTTAAAATACGACGAGATGAGACTGGACGCGAACGTGGCCCGTTGGGCGGTGACCGTGATCGAGCTGAGCCGAACCAAGAGACACTTGGATCGTGCCGCGTTGATGGTATTTTGGGAACATCTCGATAAGTATGCATCCTTTACTCGCTCTCTACTCGCGGTCGAATCGACGTTTCGATCACTTCACGTTAACCCGTTAATCGTTACAGGCACATGATCAAGAACAAGCCGCATCTTCGGTTCTAATTTCAACTCGGTCGAAGGCATGACACCGCTCTCGACTTTCGCAGCGAGATCACCAACATACAGTAGACGGTAAAAAGTGTGTACATAATTTGTGCAGAACGGTCGCAGTTACGCGCCACGAACAAAACTTGAACGCCGTTCAACCAAGGACTGATGATTGTACGCGAACAACGTTTATTTATGATCCGATTCGTTTGATTATATGGGTATACTACACCTGTCATACCTGTATTGGATCCTTGAAAACACTGCTCGTTCAACGTAAACTGATGTGCCTATTGTTAAACGAACGGCAGGAGAAAGAACGCGTTTGGTCTATTCGTTATGTTACCAAAAAACTAAGAAAATAAGAAACGAATCCACGCGGTAGGAGGAGAAGAGAAAGGTTGTATATATATATATATATATATATATATTCACGCGGTACATTCCGTGCGAGATGTCGATGAAATGAACAAATACACGCTCGTACGTGTCACCCGTGCATTCCAACAGCGTGTATTCTTTCTTTCCCTTTCCCGTGTCATCGTTTCAGGGTGTAATCGTGGACGAGAGAAAAATCTGCGGACGGATCGTCGTGATTCGAAGCACGACGGAAGACCACGGAAAGGAAAACCTCTCGGGAGTTCGGTCAACGGAAGAATCGCTTGCGGGCATCGCGAGTTGTTCCACGATATCGGCACTGTTTGCACAGACAATCGAATCCTCCTAACTGGATTACCGTCGCCCTATCGGATTAGCCGCTGCGCTATATAGACACCGTTAAAACTTTCTCTTACCAGTATACCGAGAGTACTGCGAAAAAGAAAGATATTCCTCGCTGCTCGCTTCACGGTTCGCTGGAGCAGCGTAAATAACGTAAAAATAATCTACGGATATTTGCGCGACGATGTCACAAAGTTTGTGGACGCTGCGAATAAGCGAGTCACTGAAACGAAATCACGCGAACCGTTACAACACGGACTCGGACGATTTTGAAACGTGACCGTGACGCGGGTCGTGCCGCTTGGACGGCTCGTGTTTCACGCTCGACGGTCAAAGGTCAATCGACAGGGGAGCAAACGATGCGTGCCGTGATCCGGGAAGGGGATGGGAAAGGGCGCTGTTCCCGATGGACTTTGAAAGATTAAGGTTCGCCGATGACTGAACTTACATTGCTGCGGACCACGCTCGTCGCGATCAATTTCACACACCGACAAGCCGACGACGTGTACCTCACCGAAGTTCGTGCGATCGAAACGACCAACCGTCGGGACGGAGGTACGATCCCCCTAAATATATGTATACGTGTATATGAGTATAACTTTCGCGCCTCGCGAACGATTCTATTACGATTACGTAGATGCACATCGAGGACAGCGCGTAGGTAAGAACATCTGGAGGGAGGGAACGGGTTTACAGGGTGAATTTGTAGCTGCACTGGGCGCAGTTGGGCTGCACGCAGGGGATGCCCGCGGTGGGCAGGACCGGGGGCAAGTGCAGGAAACTGGGCCGCGGAGAGAGGTGATCCGCGACCTGGGCGTACACGTGATCCCTCAAGTGTTGCTGCAGCCCGGAATTAAAATAATTGTTGTACCGAACGTTCAGTCCCGCTGCTTCTCGTTCGCTGCTCTTGTCGGGGAGAGCCGTGCAGGCCGCGTCGACCAAGTTCTTCGAGAGCTGATCGGGCACGATGTTCAACAGACAGTAGCCGTCCCCGTAGAAATTCCTCGACAAACCGGAGTAGATCGGAGCCAGCACGGTGCCAGCGAGTTGTTCGCCGGCCTTGGCCTCGTCGGCGGATCGCGGCGGCCGAAACGCCGAGGCGTAGGCGGTCGGCTCGACTCCGAGACTGTCCCTGGCGAAGTACTCGATGGCTTTCAACAGGTCCTGGCCGCATCGCTGCAACACCAGTTGCAGCACGGACAGTTTCGTGTTGGGAAACAGTCGAGCCAACGTCTCGACCGAGGTCTGCGACACGCTGCTCTCCTTCGCGTCTTCCGCACGGTTCTCGCCGAACACCAGGCCTCCGTGCTGCACCTTCCCCGCGCTCTCGTTCTCTCTCTGACGCGAGACAGAGACAGAAATTTTCTACCGTTCTGTAGCCGACGACTACGGTCGTTTGTCGACGTTAATTACAATTTGACTTACTTACCGGCGAATCCTGGCATCGCGGCTCTTTCGACGAACCACCCGTCTTCGAGTGATCGCCGTTCCCCGTCGCGGGAGAATCAACGGCCGCCTCTTCGTCGTTCGTGTCTACGACTGACTTTGGCTCGGTCACTGCCATCCCAAATATCTTGCCCGGCGGAAGACGATCGAGCCTCTGACCGGTGGCCACCTTGGCCATTTTCAGAGCGATCGCATCCTCCGCTGCCTGTTGCCGTTTCAGGGCGACCTTTTTTTTCGAACCAAGCCGATTATCGTCGAGCGGTCGAGGCTCCGTAGACGGCGGAGCAACGGCGGAGCAACGGCGGAGAACAACGAACAATGAAAAATGAAGCCGACTTCGGGCCAATCGTGACACCGTGGCCAATTTATAAATGGACCCGGCGCACCGCGGCTCAACCGATACTGCATATGTGTTTTCTCAACGGCCAATGTCAATAGAGATACATATGGGACCATTTGGCACGTGTTATTCCCGGCCGGACCACCCACCGCATCGTTTCGCGTCGTCGAGATCATCGAGAAAAAATCCGACGGAGGGCCCTCCGTTCAGGATTCACGGTTCTTTCGGAAAGCGATCAAAGTGACCAACGAGAGGAGGATCTCTACGCGATACCGAGAGAGACACGCGAGGAGAATCGAACGAATTAGACCGGTCGATCGACACGAAAACTGAACGATGCTCGTTTCGGGGACGTCGTACGCGACGTTTTCACGCAAGTCCGCTCGAGGAGGAAAGGATCGAGTGGGTGGGCCGAGTATCGAGTGTCATAATGCCTATGCAAACAGAAATGAAACGCGACACCGAGCGTTAATGGATTTAATTCCTCCCCCGTGCCCGCTCCCGTTCGGTCGGTGGAGATCGAGTGGCACGAGTGCAACTATACACGCGAAGACGAGAGTAGGTACCCCCGTTTCGCTCTGTCTACGAGTCTTACGATGCTTCCGAGCATTCGATGAATATATTCAAGACCGATCGACGAATATTCAAAACAATGAGACTCGGATACGGATGAAAAAGAGATGATCCCTCGGTGGTTCTGCCTTTTACAAAAGTCTTGACGTTGTCGTGTGACTTTTAAAATTATTTTTCTCGCGGATAAAATGTCAGAGGTAACGCAAATCGACCTTTCCGCCTCGTTCCGCTTCGTTGATCATTGCCGATAGCTCGACGGACGCGTGTAATTACCTGAGCAGCCATCACTCTCTGCCTCTCGGCGATCAGGGAGCATTTCGGGCAAAGACATTCCCTGTACCGACACTCTCTCTTGTGCCCCCTCAGCCAGGAGATCAAGCCGTGATTTCTACACCGGGCGCACTTGGGTCTCCTCTGTTTCGGCTCGCCCTCCTCTTCCTCGTTCACCGTTTTGCTCCTGTTCTTTCCGCGCAACATGTTACTGTTCGTCAACGACCACCGACCATTCTAAGATTTCGCGCGGAGGATAGAGAGCTCTCGATTCTAAAGCGATTCGCGGATGGAAATCGGTCGGAGAACCACGTTGCTCGTTCGGACGTACGCGCGTGAACGGATAGACGACGCGTTAACAATGGAATCGGAAATTGACTGGCACCGAGTAGCCAGCCGACTGAAAGAAATCTCGTTCTAATCTCCGGCGAAGATTTGGATTTTTCCGTGAGATCGCGCGCGATTGGCTCACCGATACGAACAGCATCCCTCCGGAGCAGCGACAAGACAAACATCCACCGGACCACCCTTTCTCCACGATTGGCCCGGCGATGTTTGTTCTCCTCACCACACCTACTCTCCGGCTTCTGCCTTTTCTCATCCGGCTTCGACTTTGCTTCTTCGACACACGGGGCACGAGCCTCGACAAGAGCGGCAAGAGCGATCGTACGCGATGCATCCGGAGCGATTTTCCAGAAAGCGCGTCGTTTTCGAAACGGGGACGGTAACGGGGACGGTAA